GCTCAAACATCACTAACAAAACCACAATCCAACCTACGTAATGGGAGAGTATCTGCAAATCATGTAACAGATAAGGGTTAACATCCAGAATATATAAAGAACTCCCACAAATCAACAACAACCACAAAAATAAACCTCTTAACAAATGAGCACAGAACTGGGATTAGACATTTCCCCAAAGAATATATACAAATGGCCAATAAGCCTATGGTAAGATGCTTAACGTCACTAATCATCAGAGAAGTGCAAATCAGAACTACAAGCAGATATCGTCTCACACCAGTTAGAATGACCACCAAAAAAAAAAAAAAAAAAAAAAAAAACCACATGTTGGTGAGGATGCAGAGAAATTTGAACCCTTGTGCACTGTTCCTGGGAATGCAAAATGGTGAAACCACTCTGGAAAACAGTACGGAGGTTTCTCCTCCGTACTGGAATATTAAAAATGGAATTGACATATGATCCAGCAATACCACTTAGGAGTGTTTATCCAAATGAACTCAAAGCAGAATCTCCAAGTGATATTTGCACACTCAAGTTCCCTGCAGCATTATTCACTGTAGCCAAGAAGTGGAAGCAACTCAAATATCCAGTGACAGGTGAATGGACAAAGAAAATGTGGTGTATACATAGATCGGGATATTAATCAGCCTTTACAATGAAGGAAATCCTGTCACACACTACAACATAGATGAACCTTGAGGACAGTATGCTAAGTGAAATAAACCAGTCACAAAAAGACAAATACTGCATGATTCCACTAATATGGGGTGTCTAGTGTAGTCAAGCCCATGGAGACAGAAAGTAGAACGGCGTTTGCAGGGGCTGGGGTGGCAGGGGAAGTGGGTAGTCAATGGGTACAGAGTTTCAGGTTTGCAAGATGGAAATGTTCTAGAGATCTGTTGCACGACTGTGCACTTAAGAATCATTATGATGGTAAATTTGTTATGAAATTTTCACTACAAGAAATAAATAAATCCCAAGAGCACTCCACAAGCCATCTCCCCAACTCTCCCTCTTCTCTGTACCCTGCATTTTCCCCAAAGCACACGTCTACCTTGCACATTCTATTCACTTATTTGTTGTTTGATTGTTTTTTTTTTTACTAGTTTGATTATCACTCTCTGTCTAGAAACAACTACACTGAGCCAAGATTATAGATATTTTTCATGATGGATCTCTGCCACTTGCAGTGCTCTTCACTCATTAGGTGCTCAATAACATTTCCTGGAGGAATTGATGAATGAAAAGATGCATGTTATGCTGCTGTCAAAACCTTCCAAAGGTGTCACATTCTGAATGTAATAAATAAGTGAAAAGTATGACATGTCCATCAGTGCATGGAGGATGAACAGGAATGAATGATTGGAAATGGGGAGTGAAGAGTGTTAGAGGAGGAACAGCTCATGCAGAGACCCAGAGGCACAGGTAACATTGTTCTGACTGATGACGATGAAAAGTCCGGGTTGGATGGAGTATGAGTGGGAGGAGGGGGGAGTGGAGGAAGTGGACTGGAGAGTGGGGCTGCGGTCAGGGTGAGGCCAGTGAGGCATTTGCCCAAAATGCAAATTTAAAAGGGGAGATGAAAACCTCTGTAATTGAGATAAATAATATTTCCGTGCAAGAATTTTTAAATCAATTAAATGCAAAAAAAAAATAAAAACACCATGGAGAAAGGAAAATCAAAAATTTAAATAACCCAGGATGAGTAAGAATGCCTTTCTGAACCTACTGGAGCCTGAGACAGAGGAAATATGTGTCCCTTTCTATATATATTTTTAAGGATTTTAGCGGTCAAATTTTTCCAGAACATTAAACTAATCGAAACGTTATTGAAAACCTGAAATGCACAGTGTATTTGAACATTAAGTTTGAAGGTTTTATGGCTCCCCAAACCAGAATTTGTTATAATTTTGGTTTCCTGGCCTTACTGGAAACAAATGCAGAGAGAATATTTTCAAAATTTGTTTCTCTGAGTTTTCAGCTGAGTATACTGCCATGTGTGACAATTTCTCTTGACCAAGTTATGATCTTAAATTATTACTAACTAACTTCAGTCTACTGATCCTACCATGGTTCAGATTTTTTATATTTTGCTCCTCATGGATTTTTTTCATTAATTTTGTTTTTTTATAAACAGTGCATTGAAGAATTATCTCGATTGCTGAGATTTTTGGCACCTTTCTAAGTTTTGCACTTGAAGTGAGTGCCTCACTCTCCTCACCCTAACCCTGGCCCTTCTGGAGAGGTAAGTGCTGAGAGGCCAGAATATGCAGGGCTGCAGGCTGAGGAGTGTGAGCTTCATTCTCTAGGTCAGGGGTCAGCAAACTACAGCCCATGAGCCAAATCTGGCCCCGTACCTGTGTTTCTAAATAAAGTTTTACTGCAACACAGCCACGCTCATTCATTTACATGTGGTCTGAGGCTGCTTTCCTGCTGCAATAGGAAAGTTGTGTGGCTGCAACACAGACTGCATGGCCCACAAAGCCAAAAACATTTACTCTCTGGCCCTTGAAAGAAAAACACTGCCGGCCTCTGCTCTAGGTGATGGGAGCAAACAGATGTTCAATACAGAGGAATTGGACAATGATGATTTTTAGATGATCACTCTGTGTAGAGCAAGCGACATGAGGGGCAGGGAGATGAGGGGTCCAGGAAAGAGATCCGGAAGCCTCAGCAATGACAGGGGTCAAAATGGAGGGAGGGAGACTGATACTACCTGTTCTTTAGGGGAAACACGGAAAAGACGGGGTGAGTTTTTGGCTGTAGCAGAAGAAAGGAAGGACAGAGAGAAGGTTACTCCTCTGATCCTGGCCTGAAGGAAAGAGGAGCGGCTGTCCTGCTGTCAGTGAGAAGAGGATCTGACCCTGGGGGAGGAGGAGGAGATGAGGAGAACAACTTTGGCCATGATGAGCAGAGCAATTCAGGGAGCCATCCTGGGGGAGGCGTCCAGGCAAGATGCTGGATGGAGAGATGCACAGGTCACTCAGTGAGAGATTTACCTTGTAACTGCATTTGCACCCTCCATGCTTGTGTCCTCCATGCCCACCGCTGGCCTTGCTGATTTCTTCCTGCGGGACCTCACTCTGAGTGAAGAAAGCAGAGGTCCTTTCAGTCTGGACTGCTCAGGGTGCAGTGGGCAGACTGACCCCTCCTCTGCTCTCTCCTAAGGGGCTGGAGGGGACACTGAGATGGGAGAGGGGTGGTCCTGTCCCAGAGAGCCCAGGGTTGAGAACAGACTCCTCCCTCCTGGACAGCGGGGCCACAGGTTTGTGACAGACTCACCCTGGTGCCAGGCGTCTCCTTCCTGCCCTTGCTTCAGGCTCTGGACCCACCCAGTCCCCTAGCTCTGGCTTCAGGGATCCATGGCTGCCTGCCCTTGCCATCCCAGGGCTCTCCCTCCCTCCCTAGGTCCCTGCTCACGTGACGACGATGATGCAGAAGGACAGAAAGAGCAGAGTCTTAGCGCCTGCTCCCCAGACTGCACCCAGCACCACTCCTGATAAAGCACACGCTTTTCCTGCAGAAGATTGGATTATTGGTGGTTCTCCTCTGAGAGCTCAATTTCTTCTCCTCCCACTCCCTGTAGAATGCCACACTTGTGTTCAGGCCACTTTGCCAGATACAGAAACAGGGACATGGGGATGGGAGTGGGGGAGGGGGCGGGGTTAGGGTGAGGAGAGTGAGACATACAAGTGCTGGGTTGCAGCCTGCTTTTATTTAAGATATTGATATTTTGTTCTTCATGGCATTTATTTTATGTTTATTTTTTAAAAAATATTGCAGTTCAGTATTATTTCTTTTGATTACTAAGATTTTTTTGACTTATCTTTAAATTTTGTGGCCAGGGTAAGTACTACACTCGCCTGACCCTCCTCCCAGCCACAAAAAGCAAGGACCTTATGTCTCCAGGCACACCTGTCCAGGCCCCAGGCCCTCTCCTCCAAGAACCACCTCTTTCCCTCGCTCCCCATCCACCCCTCGCCCCACACCACAGCCCTGGCCTGGCACAAGACGACAGTGATACTCTGAGTCCCAGGGAATTTCCAGGCCTCACAACCCAGCACAGACCAGAGCTGAGCTCCCCTCTGAAGCTCAGGGGTCTGCTGGGTGGACTGTGGGGTGGGGTGGGTGCTGTCCTCCTCCTCCAGCCCCTCCCCCATCCACCCGTGCACTCACTCTGCAGAGAGAGGCTCAGGGAGACATGCAGAGCGCCCCGAGGGTGCTCAGCTTGGCAGGTGAATTCACCCTCATGCCCCAACTCCATCCAGGGCAGCTCCAGGACCCCAGGGTTTAAGGGCTGTGAGGCGATTAGGGTCTAGCTCCCATGGGCCCAGCTCAGCCTGGCTGGGGGGTTGCTGTCGACAACACAGACCAGGCGCAGGGACTGGCCCTCCAGGACTGCAAGAGATGACCTGTTCTTCAGGACTATGGGTGCTGGAGAAGAAGAGACAGAGGGTCAGAGAGACAAAGAGATTCAAAGAGGAAAGATGCAGAAGGAGGCTGGATGACGCCAGACACACAAGCATAAGTTGAAGTGCAGGACAATGCACACTTTCAACTGTCACTGGTGGGAATGTAAACTTGTCCACTCTCCATGTAGAACAACTTGGCATTATCTCTCAATGTTGGAAAAAACATATGAAGCAGCTCTATATTGCTTTTAGGAACTTATCCCACAGAGATACACACACACAATTGTGAAAGGAGACACTGATTGTTCATTGTAGTGTGTCTGTTAGTAGAATAAACTAAATGCCATGATTTTTCAATTAACAGAAGATGCATACAAAATCAGAATCCATCCAGGCCATGGAATAGGGCACAGTCACAGAGAAGAAGGAAGACACTAGTCATTTCCCAGGAGGGGACTGGGCATCAGAAGGACAGACTCTGCTGTACATTTTGAATATTTGTCCATGTGAATACATTACCTGTTCAAAAGTACTTAAATAAGCAATTGTTGGGGAAAACGAAAAGACAAGGGTAGAAGAGTCATCAGAAGATAGATGATAAAGGGCCTTGAGAGGAGGGCTCTGCCCTATGATGCTGCCCTGTTCTCCTTGTGGAGCTGAGGAGGGTGGTGAAGTCTGAGGGGGTTGAGGGCCTAGGGGGACAGCTGCTCACAGAGGCCATGGGGACTGAGGATGAGAGAGACCACTGGGTTCACACACAGGGTGTCTCTGGTCACCAGGGTGAGTCCAGGGTGAGACAGCGACCCAGCCCTGCCTTGAGCTGGAAGAGGTCCTGTTCCCTAGATCCCAGGAGGGGAACCCTCCTACCTGTGCTGTTTCCTTGGAAGACAGTGACGGTTAAGTTCTGTGGAGAGTCTGGGACAGAAAGACAATGTGTCCCTGCATCAGTGGTGAGGGCTGGGTGGACATGGGTCGTTGACCCCAGGAGCTGCATAAATGGGGGAAGGGTGGAGGTGGGCGTCCTCCTGACCCCCTCCCAGCCTGGATTCTGTGACCCACCACCAGTTTCTGAGACCCTGACACCCCCATCCCCACTGCCGTCAGGACTCCATCAGGGACCCGGGTGTCGTGGCCCAACACTAACAGGTGACGTGGAGCTGGATGGTCCTTTCCACAGTTAGACCAGTTGTGAGTAACTTCACCTGACATGTGATGTTGGTGCTGTGGTCCTGAGGCCGTGGGGTGAGGGTGAGGACTGAGGAGAGGTGGTTCCTGGGGCCCAGGGAGGTGAGGGCAGCCAACATCCAGGAGAAGATGGGGGGCACGACCCACTCACAGGCCCAGGGAACAGAGCAGGTCAGGTTCCTGGGGCGGCCAGACTCCAGGGTCTCTGGGGTGAGGATGTCGGGTGTGTGGTTCAGGGCTGGTGAGGAGATGGAGAGACACAGGAATCAGGAGGGAGAGTCTGAGGAGCGGCCCTGAGAGAAGCCTCATGCTTTGGTCCAGCTACACCCTTTGACCTCTGACCTGTTTTACCTCCAAACACCTCCAAGGATGGAAAGTCCCCTCCCTGCTCTGCCCTGGGACCCCCATGTCCTTCCCCTGTGGTGATTCCTGGAGCCAGCGCCTTACCCGTCACATGCACAGAGAGCTGGTTACTTGTGTAAGAATGTCTCACACTTCCTCTCTCCACTCGAAAAAAGTATTTTCTGTCATCTGTCCTCCTGGCGTCTCTGATGTCCAGGGAGCAGTTGTAGGTCCGGGGGTCCCCAAGGAGGTGGAATCGGCCCTGGGTCTCCTCCCGCACTTTTCCATCTGGGTTGTTTGTGGCCTCTGATGCATCCTGGTCTGTTCTGGCCCCTTCACGGAACCAGCAGCCATGAGCTGCGATAGAACTGCTCCACCGACTCCAGGGGTGGGAAAAGGAGCAGGGCACAAACACACACAGGCCCTCCTGCACCGTCACTGACTCCTGCACTTGCAGCCAATAATCCTCCACTGGCTCCCTCTGTCCCTCGGCCCCCTCCTCCACCAGAGCAGGGCCAGCAGCAGCAGCAGCAGCAGCATGTCTGACGTTGGCAGTGCCAGGTTCCCCGAGAAAGTCTGTTTCCCGGGGTTCTCTCTAAGGAACTAAAAGTTGCAGATTTAGAGGAGACTTTAACAGGAAGATGAGGGTGAGGTCAGAACAGTGACCCTGCTCAGAGGAGGAACTTCACACCCAGACAGTATCAGGGCCAGGACAGCCAATGAAGTCAACCAGCCACCAAGCACGTCCACTCCTGGGGACCCCAGGCCAGAGAAGATGAGAGGCTCACCCAAATTCACAGCCCATGCAGGGCCTGAGCCCCATCTGCTGCCTCCCTGTCAATGTCCTTTCCCTCAGGGATCTTTTTCTGCAAAGTGAAAATTGGTGCATTCTGGCCAGACCCCCTGAGTCTGTCTGTGGAAGTTGGTCCCGCCCGGGGTGGGACTCAGGGAACCAAGATATGAGCGAGGCCGACTGACCTCCCTCCCTCAGCATCACCGTGGTGGACATCCCCTCTCTGCTCACAAGGTCACACACCAGCCCTGGATCTGGACCTGAGTCACTGTCCAGTGGAGAGACAACCAATGTCCAGGCAGTTGGATCTCCCTGTGACCGGGACTGCGATGGGGGACACACAGGCAGTGTGGGGTGTCGCTCTCCCTCCTTGTTGGAGGTTTTGTCTCAGGAGGACTGGGCAGGGGGGACACTCAGGTGGTGGAGGCCAGGATTCTGTGTGTTAGCACAGCTAAGGTCGTCGAGGGGAGCCCAGCCCACAGGACTCCTGGAAACCAAGGCTGTGATTCTCTGTAGAGTGAGGTTTGGAAGGGAAGAAAGTGCAGGAGGGAAGGGGCAGATTTCGAAAGGGATAGAAATTTCCCCCTTTGTAGAGACAGTATGGGCGCCAGAACGGATTTCTTCATCACTGGTGTCTCAGGGGGCCGTGCTCCTCCTCATTGCTCCAGAGCATGGCCAGATCTGCCCACCTCTGGGTCTTTGCCAAAGCAAGCTCTGCTTTCAGAATTTGGCTGTGCAGGAGACACAGAGCAAGGAACGCTGGCCTGGGGGTCGTCCACCTTCAAGGATGATGAGGATTTCATGAGAGAAGAAACATGCACCTGAATTCACAGAAGGTAAGTTTTAACAGTGTGGTGGGGGCTGGGAGGAAGTGATGGGAGTCCTGGGAGGTGGTGACTGTCCAGACGCAAGTCAGTTTTCTGGAAAGATTTGTTTTGGGAAACGTAAGTCACATACAAAGAAGGGTCCCCACAAGAACAGCTCAGTCATTCATCAAAAAATGAAGACCCGGGGCCGACACCGAGTCATAGTGGTTAAGTGTGCTCGCTCCGCTGCTGGCGGGCCCAGGTTTGGATCCAGGGTGCCCACTGATGCAGCGCTTGTCAGGCCATGCTGTGGCTATGTCCCATATAAAGTAGAGGAAGATGGGCATGCATGTTAGCCCAGGGCCAGTCTTCCTCAGCAAAAAAAGAAAAAAAGAGAGGAGGATTGGCATGGATGTTAGCTCACGGCTGATCTTCCTCACAAAAAAATAAATAAATAAAAAAGACCACCCTCCAAGAAGTAGAAGGTTAGGAGCATCCAGGACCTCCCCCTAAATCCCCTTCCCTATCTCCACACCCCACTTCCCACAGGGAGCCCCAGTCTCACTGTAATGTCATTTCTTTCCTGGCTTTGCTCTGTGGTTTTATCATCTGAACATGCTGCCTTTAACACTATGGTTTTGGACGGGTTTATCTTAAGACTTTGTATAAATAGAAAAATTATAGTCTGTTTTCTTCTATTCGACATCATGAAGCTGCCCATCCCATAATATCCCCTTCCCAGAACTATAACCCAAAACCTGAGTAGAGTCAGTGCTGTGATCATGGAGAAGGAAGGTGCAGGGTTGGAGCCTGCATGGACACTCCCACACAATCACCATTTCCTGCATTTTCAGCTGGAATCTCATCCTGCAGTGCCCTCCCCCTCCTGGGCCCCTGTGCTGGCCACTCACTCTCCCTGCAGGGGCAGCTGCAGCATCTGTGCTCAGAAGGGCCTTGCCATGCCGATCCTGTTCCCATTGTTCCCAATTTGCAAAGAAAAGCAGAAGAATTGGAAGGAGAGACATAGGGAAAAAACTAACTATGTGCAAAAGAGGAAGTATGACGCACGGGCCATTAGAGCTGAGGGGCCTTTGAGCCTTACTTCACCAATTTGCAGAAGAAGACACTCAATTCCAGAGTAAGCAAGTCAGTTGGCCAAATCACACAGGTGCTCTGTCTCATGCACTATTCTCTGCACCTTGGGCCACTTCATCAATCTTTGTCAACCCAGGTATCCTTGGATGAGAGGCAGGAAGTTTACGTTAATCTGGAAGGGAAGAATTTTCAACTCAAGCAAAGAGGGGAGGGAGGACATTTAATTAATTCATTCATTCATTCATTCAGCAATCATGTAAATAATGCCTTCATGTTTCTAGTAAGAGGGGTGAATATAACAGGTCTAGCCCTTGCCTTTGAGGAGAGCACCATCTGGTAGGGAGACAGGTTACCTGATAATTCCGGTGCCATAGGCTAGGTGGCTGTGATGGGGAAGCAAACCTGGGGTGGGTGGAGCTCCTGCTCTTCTGGACTGGAAGGTGAGTCTCATGGAGGACTGGGCCAAGTAGACATGGTAAAGACTCTCAGGGGGTCACGAGGGGTGTGAATTCTGCAGGTGATGCTGGTACCCTGAGAGTTGCTGGACTCTATTCAGATATTATCTTCTCTATACCACTCACTCCCATACTGTGCTGGAGATCCTCTGCCAACTCTCAGGATCTGTGCTCTGACTGTGACCAACCATACCTTTGACCCAGCCATCCTTAGATCACCACCCATAGGGGGCGCTCCTTCTGACAGGACTTACCTGGCTCCTGGGGATTCCTTAGGAAAGGGCAATGGTGCTGTCTGTGGTGCTGATTCAGAGCTGAGTGTTGACTTTGGAGATGTCTGAAGCTCTGTGGAGGGGCCTGATCACACAGCACAGGGACCTTATATCTGTAGTCAGGAGGATCAAGACATCAGCTGTGTTGGGCCGGTCCCATGGCTTAGCAGTTAAGTGCGCACACTCTGCTGCTGGCGGCCCGGGTTCGGATCCCGGGCGTGCACTGACGCACCGCTTCTCTGACCATGCTGAGGCCGCGTCACACATACAGCAACTAGAAGGATGTGCAGCTATGACATACAACTATCTACTGGGGCTTTGGGGGG